CCGATTATTATAAAAAAAGAAGCCCAAGACCTAGTATATAGCTCCAATTTTAGCAACAAAATAGAAAAAATGGAATCAATATATACAGGAAAAAAACACATTTTAATTTTAAGCTCATTAATAAAATATGCGAGCCTTATAATAGCTATGATGTTAAAATATATCTTTAATAAACTGCAAAAATTAAAATATAATTAATGAATATATGTTATTTTTTTATTGGAAAAGCCCCCCATTATCTTATTCAAAAAATAATCAATTATTACTTTGGTTTTCCTATGATTTATAGTTTAGCATTTAAATTTAGAATAATCTATTTATAGAACCAGCTTAGCCAACATTATAATAGACAAATAGTTAATTTAATCATTAATACATATACAATAAATAAAACACATACTCTTCATAGTCTATTTTTTTTTCTTAAGCTTGTATCCTGACAACAACAAATATACTTGCTACGATATAATTAAGCCTGAGATTGTTTATGATTATTTCTTTTTATCTTTACATTATTAATTTAAAACCAATTATTTAAGCTTTTAATTTTATTCCCCCCTCGCCCCATAAAGTAAACATATAACAAAAATACAGCTTATTTTATTTTTTAAAAGCTAATATAAAAATCTAAAAAGTTTTTAAAAATTATTAAATTTTTAATTATTAATTTAAGCTATCCAATTTCACTTTGGCTCACTAGAGCCTTTATACTCACCGAGCATTGGCTCAAGAAGATTGGTAAGCACTTTATTTTATCAACAACAGTACTTGAGCAACGTGTATACCATCGATAAACTTTGCTATTTTCAGCTCCATTGATAATGATATATTGGTGTCTTTCTTAAATTTGAGTTCGGAAAAAAATAATTTTGACTCCCCTCTAATGAGTTTGACCATGAGCCCTCTTTGAGCTTCTTTGAGCGGCTCATTATTAATTAGTTTTGCCAATTTATATGGTTGTGGTATAAATTGATCTATTGTGTCTTTTCTTATTGCTGCCCACCGACTGCAGTCTAAAAGTATATGTTCAATGTTTTCTAGAACATTTTAGCGACAAAACGGATACATATTCTCATATATGTTTTGTATAAATTTTAATTTGCCTAGTGTTTCTCGCGTCTAGTACACTCCTGTTTGTATTTTGCCAATTATTTGAAGTCCTAATTTTATTTCAGGATAAAGCAATTGTAAATTTATCCAATTACTCGTGGTTTCCATGTTATAATTTTTTGATTTATCATTTTTGTTGTATATGTCTGAAATTGTAGTTTTTGCGGCTCCAGATTTAAATTTTTTTGTATATTTATTAAGCCATCTTGGTTTTACCTGATACCCATATACTAGCACATACCTTTATTGGATTTTTAGTTAAATCGACTATTCACGTACGTAATGTGAGTCATTTAATATAAGCACGTTATCGTAAGCATAATGTCTTGCTATTGATGGTGTTTATACCAAACTCAGTTCTAAGTCTATTAAGCGCAGTGTTTTCCCCGACTCCAGCTATCAATCTTAATGTTTGGTCTGATACTTTTTGAGTTGGGCTATTTCTTTGCTCACTTATCCCAAATATTTTACCGCCATATGTATCAACTGTAATTAGTACTGATTGCAGTACTATAAGTCAAATTGCTTTTGGAATTCTTTTGTTTTTCAAAAAATAGTTTACTGTAAAATATGCATTTTACATTTTAGTTTTGTTATTTTTAATTGTTTGGTTGCATTTACATTGATTATTAAATATAATTCCAAGATATGTGAATTTTTCGACAATACTAGCAATTTTATTTTGTATTTTAAAGTTGTCAGTAGTCAATGGATTAATGCATATAATACCACATTTGCTGTTATTAATTTGCATCTCGTTCATATCGGTCCATTTAGTTATAGTATTTAGAGCCGATTCAAGCTTATCTGGTGTTTCAGCAACTACTAATCCATCATCAGCAAATAGCATTCCAGATATTTTTGTAGTTAGGCCAGGTACTGAGACACCAGGCACGTTATTGGATATATAATTAATATTATATCAAATAACATTGGCAATAAGAGGCATCCTTGCCGAACATCCCAGCGCACGGCTTTTTTACTTATACGTATTTTTTGTTTGCAAAATATATACTTATTTACTCATAATAATCAGAACTACTGAAAGAATACTTTATTAAAATATAACACTCAATTATAAAAGATTTAAAAAATCTATAAGTGTTTTGAATATGTATAAAAATTAGATAGGTGCTGCATAATAACATTTTATAATTAAATGAATAATAAAATTAGTACAAAGTTTACCTTGAAAATGCAAAAAATTATGCGTCAGCCGGGAGTCGAACCCGGGCCAATTGCTTGGAAGGCAACTATTCTACCGCTATACTACTAACGCAACGCTCCCACCTAGGCTTGAACTAGGAACCTCATGATTAACAGTCATACGCGCTATCCAGTTGAGCCGAGGAAGCTTTACGTTCACCCGGATTAGAATCAGGGACTAGAGATACCATACACTACAGTCTCCCGCTCTACCGCTGAGCTATATTCGGATAACATAGTAAAAAAAATGTGTAATATAAATTGTAATTTTTTTACATTTTTTTTAAGAAACTATAAGTTAATTGGTGTAACATTATTTGTTGCTACAAATTAATAGCGCTGTATAAGTTTTTTTTTATATTTTTTTCAAAAAAATGTTTTTATTGAAAAATAAGCA